AGCACCCTTTGGGAGCAGCAGCGTGACTAGTTCCGGCCAATGAACATTGACTGCAGGTGCAGTAGTTTGCTTTTTGAAGTCCCTAAAAGCTGATGCACAATTTTCCATGCTCTCTTCTAGAGAAAATCCTGAAGCCTCGCGTTGAGATGGGGGCGTCTTGGGATGTTGAGGGCCTCAGCTAGAGGTCAGCCACCCCGGAGTGTCGCCTGGACTTTTAGAGGACTTTGTATGGATGAAAAATAAACCCGTGGGGTGTGCAAAGACATCAAGATGTTTGATGTTGTTTGCTACGACAGCAGAGCCTATTCTGGGGATAGAAAGGAAGTCATATCTTTTGAGGCGCTGGACACTGGTGACCTAGGGAGGCCAGAGCTAAGTGTTGTGTGTATGAGAGAGTGACTGCATATACTTGGCTACAGAGGCTGGCCTGCTCAGGGGCATGGGCTGAAAGGCTCAAGTTAGGGTCCTGCCCGGACAAAGGGTCATACCAGGGTACATGGTGGAGCTGAGGTTCCTGGCAGGGGGTGGGGGGGGGTAGGTTTAGAAGAAGGGAGGACTGGACCAAGCTTGGGCACTGGAGAAGGCTAGGTGAATGGAGGTCTGACACTGGGCAGTGGGCTGGGAGCCATTTCTGCAACAGCCAAATGCAAACAGGGCTTCCTAGCCCTCTGCTCCCCAAAATTTCATGGTCAAGCTCTGCCAAGAGGAGGAGTGAGTAGTGACCTTTCCATGGAGGACAAGGAAGAGGTGTCCCAATCATCAAACTGAGTTCCCAAGGTGTTGGGCTCGGCATCCACATCTGAAGGCCCTGGAGGACAGCTATACGAGGGGGATGGACTGAGACGGTTGCTGCATGGAGACCTTGCCCATGCTCCCAAACAGACACGACCATACTGGTCAGCCTCTTCCTCCATGACTGTGTCACACCCCAGTTTCTTGGGTTTGCCTGGATTTGTCCAGAAAAGGGTCAGGTTTCTGCAAATCAGGGCTTGCTTGGGATTCTGGCCCGAGGCCAACACCATCCTCAGACCTTCCTTTCCAGCCCTGGGTCTCCACCTCTCCTGGTGGCCACCCCTTGCTTCCTGTAGGTGACTCAGACCTTGGGCTCTTCTTGTGGTCATTCCAGGCTGTCACTCTCAGTCCTCAGGGAAGCCCTAACTTCCCACCCGCCACCACTCAGGGCCCGTTCACGCCAAAGTCTGAGAGGAAATGCTTTTGGAAGGTTGGGGGACATGAACCGGGGCCTCCTATGGCCAGCTAGCCAGCCACACTGCTGTGTAAGGCAGGGCCAGATCCCAGTTTTGTGGGGGCTTGAAACAACTGTGACTCTTTAAAAAAAGGAACACTGTGTGCTATTCTCTGAATGTTTGTGTTCCTCCTAAATTCATATATTAAAATCCTAAGCCCCAAAGATGATGGTATTAGGAGGTGGGGCCTCTGGGAGGGCTCTGGGTAGAGCCCTTCTGAATGGGATTAGTGCCTTTAGACAAGAAACCCCAGCAAGTCCCCCTGCCCTTGTCACCACAGGGAGAAGGCACCAGCTATGAACCTGCAAGTGGCTCTCACCAGACACCAAATCTGCTGGTGTGCTGAGAACCTCTACTTCCAGCCTCCAGAATGGTGAGAAATTAATTCCTTTTGTTTCTGAGCCCCCTGGTCCCTGGTGTTTTGTTACAGCAGCCGCAACAGACTAAGACACTATGCTAGTAATACGGGCAATGGAAGGGAACATCCACTACCACAGGATGTGGGTGAGAGTCACGGGCATAACAAGAAGCTCAGCGCCAAAGAGAACGTGCTGTACGTCCATTAACATCAAGTACATCCATTAACACCAACCTCACAAACAGGCAAAAGTCATCTCTAATGATGGAGTTCGAAATACCAGCTACCTCTTGATGGGGTGAATAGGACAGAAAAAAAGGCACGTGGGAACTTTCCGGGGAAAAGGAATCGTTCTGTTTTCTACATTTGTCATTATCTATATTCTGTTGCTCTACATTTTGAGGAGGGTGGTTGATTACAAGGGTGTGTGCATATGTTAAATGTGTTGATCTGTACACTTGATGTACTTTATACACCTGTGTATGTCAATAAAAAAGAAAAGCAACTTCTACAAAACAACCGAACAAGAGTTAACAAAATTACGGGGCGCCTGGGTGGCTCAGTGGCTTAAGCGTCCGACTCCTGGTTTCGGCTCAGGTCATGATCTCGTGCGTGGCTCATGAGTTAGAGCCCTGCATCAGGCTCTGTGCTGACAGTGTGGAGCGTGCTTGGGATTCTCTCTCTAGCTCTCTCTGTCCCTCCCCCGCTGGCTCCTTCTGTGTCTCTCAAAATAAGTAAATAAACTTAAAAAAAAAAAAAGATTAAGAATTACACAATTAGGTACAGGGCTTTGAAGCTTGAATGTCATTATATTTCTGGTAAATATGTCTCCAGAAGATTCCTCAGCTCCAGGTTATGGGAGCCTCAAGCTCCAGGCCCACAACAGGCCCGTGC